TCGCCCGCTGTGTTGTCCCCCTCCCCACCACACCCTGTGAGTGGTACGTTGCGTCTGCTTGCGCATGTCACACATTCACTTCATCTATCACAGCATTGTGACCTCTCCATCCCCGCACCAGAGAAGTGAGAGGCATGGTAGGCCAAGATAATCTAGACTGGGCTGGCCTATCAAGCCATGCGTTCTGCTTGTCTGCATATGCCACACCCTCCCCACTCTTTCGCTCCAGCCTTCATTGTTGGTCCGCATGGGCTCTCCCATTCTTTGTTTCGCTGGATCACCAACAACTTTCTCAACTGGCAAGGTTTTATAACATGTTTAATTGGCCTGTGTGCGCTGTGCACAGCAGCAGCAATATTCCGTTATAACCGACTCACGTGTTTGTCTGATTGCGCAATAGCAGTATTTTATTTACAAAGATAAAGAAGGAGAAAAAACATGGTTTTAGAATAGTGTCTTTATAACAGACTTCTCGTTGTTTCAGGACTCGTTATAAGTGGACTCCACTGTATCTCAAAACTAGGTACTGAGCAGATAGAACTTTGTAATTCTTCAAGGGTAGCAATTTGTTGAGCCAGCTTTAGTGGCCTCACAGACGACACCCACAGTAACTACAATGACAATGACAAGAGAACAAAGTTCATGCACACAGAAAAACAGGATGTTTTAGTTTTAGTAGAGGTTTTGCGGCGCTTCCAACTGCATAAGGTCATATGAGCGCCAGAAGATTAGAGGTGTTACAAGAGAGTAACAAACATTTTAAAAAAGGAGGGGAGATAAGGACGATGGATGTTTGATAGGAAAGAAGAAGCAAACCACACCAGAGCACCTGCCAACCACCCACAAGACAGGATGGAGTCAGTAGTAGTAGTAGGTTAAGTAAGAGTTTTTAGGCACTTGCAACACAATATATATAGGTCATATAAGTGCCAAAGATTAGAGGCCTTACAAGAGAGTGCCACACAAAGAAAAAACTGAGGAGAGAAAAGGGTGATTAATGTCTGATAGTGACAGGAAAGAAGAAACAAAACACACCAGAGCACCCACCAATCACCCATGGGCGGAATCGGCCTCCAACAGAAAAGGCAGTAAGCTACAAACAGTAAAGTATACAGCATAAACTCTCTATGGTGTGATGACACATTCTGTTCCGTGTATGGATGAGGAAAAACAAAAACGCTGAAAAGAAATACAGACTGACCACACCAGAGCAATAATCCACAACAATCAACATTTAAAAAATATGTGTATTGATAGCAAATTTTAATTACATATGAAAGGAAGGCTCACTGAGAGTTCCACAGCACACAACAATTTCTGATAAAAATAACACACTGAATGTTATACTTTTTCACAATTTTCAGGAAAGAAATACAGTGGAACTCAGATTCAACGAGGTCGCCGGGCCTGACCTAAAATCACGTTGAATCTGAGTGTTCATTTTATAGCAAACATGAGGTTTTGTGTAGATAATTACGGGCACTAAGCAAGTAATGTATAAAGAGAAGTCACAAGTAGTGCCTGAAATGCCTGCATATTATGAGCTGTGTAAAAAAAAGACCTGATTCGTTCAAATGCACATGCCTGAGTCATCTCGATTGTTTACCAAAAAGTTGTGTTGCTGTGTAGAGCCTAGTATACGGCAACTTTTGATTCCATAGATCAGCGCACAAGTCATTACGTAGATCTACGTCAAGACTAGCTTATCATTGTAATAGTGATCAGTTGCCGAGGGAAAAAAAAAGACTGATGCGTTTGTATCTGCGAAGTTCAACGCCCGGACCGATAGTGCCCCCTCCACCCCACCCCCCCTAAAAACCCTCTCATCGGAAGACAGAAAAAGCGTGTTCTAATAGGGGGTGCCCATTGGAGGATCGGTTCTGTTCAATTCGGTTTGGTTTCCAGCGGCTTTAGTGCACACTTTAAAAATAGACCCAAGCCTCAAACCGATCACCTGACTCACAAGCCTGAAAAATAAACCCGTTTGTTCCTGAAGTTTAAAGTTGGTTTCGTTCAGTTTGTTCCACAGAGGAAAATCTGGCAGCCCCGACAACCAAATCGAACCGATCTCGCCAATGGGCACTGGGTATAAGACTAAGACAAAGATGGACCAGGCTATCGCACCGACTTCAAGGGCACAACTCAGAATCATGCTTTCTCTTTTACTGTTTTATATACGATGATATACTAGAATAAAAAAATTTTTTCAATTCAAGATAGAGTGTGTTTTTTAAATATTTTCTTATTAATTATTAATACAAGTGAGCACAAGTTAGTGAGTGCTGTGTGTTGCTTGGGATGAAAGCAAAAACCAATTGTTTCAGGATTTTATTATTATTACTTCTAATCTAAGTTAGTCTAAGTCAGTATTTTTGGCAAAGCATATGACATTATCAGTTGATGGTGACTGGACAACATTTTGTAGTTCTATGAAACAGACCAATCTCAACTCTTTGTAAATGAAGGGGAAAGAGGAACACAGTGAAAGTGCCAATTTCAAAGGACAATCTGTTAACAGTTAACCACATAAGAACAGGTGAAAACCGATCAAAACCCAGAAAGCTGTTGACCCAGTCAGAAGACAACAGGTGCCTGGCTAAAAAATCGTTTGTATACTGGGGTGTGTGCAACATCATAATTCCTTTGTCTGCTACTCCGCACAACCCCCACTTCCTTCCATTAAGCCCTCAGTCTATCCATTTCCTTCTCATTGAAAATGACGGCACATTATCAGCAATGACGCTACATATCGCTTTCTTTCATTGC